CTTATTTAATTTTTAAGGAAATATTATTAAATACATTTTTTTCTTTTTGTAAAATTTTTCCTTTCACCCATACTAAACACTGCATTTATGAGGGTGGGGGTTGAGGAAAAATATTGCACTGGGATCATGTATGTCATATTCATTATTTAAATTTTCTATACAAAGAAATTATTTTTAAAATTAAAAACAATATTTTATGATGATATTATTTGAAATCTATATTGCCTTTTGCAAATTTGATTAAGATTTCTTTTGTTGTTTACACAGAAAAGAAATTCATTATTCTTTAAATATATAATTCTACTTTTATTTTTATATATAATATATACTACACATTATTACATACAGAGTTGATAATACTACTCTACTTATAGATCATCATATTCATGAATGAAAGCATGATAATGATTTTTGTTTTAATTGGATGTTAAATTCCCAGGATTTTTTTCAAGTCATGGAATTTGCATCACATTTAATTATTGTATTCAAATATTTTTGTTTTGTTTTTCAAAACGACATGCATTCATCGGGCAACAATATATAGTTTTATTATTATCGTTCAAAAAATTTCTATTTCAGTTTTATTTAATTTTTTTGTTTATTATTATTATTTTTTAAAGGACACCAAAAAAAGTTGTATAACTATGACATTTACATACACACAGATAGATAGATTTTACACGCACGCACACACATACATTTTTATTTATATTTACACAGTAAAAGAAAAGAAATATTTGTTTTTGGAATTAGGAGAAGAGATGTAAAAATTATGTTAATAGAAAAAAGAAAGTCAGTGGAAAAAGAAAAATCAAGGAAGAAAATTAATTAAAAATCAAAATGAACTCTCCTTGAATTTTAAATCTATCCAAAGCATAAGAAAAATAAAAATATTGAAATATTTCTGGTCTACAAATTCGTCAAATAATTTATGGCAAGAAAATGCTACAGCAATATTGTATTTTGCTGCTAATAGAGATGAGGAGTTGGTAATATTTAGATGTGAGAAGGTTGCAAAATATGCATTTATATTGACAATATTTTACTGTACAATATATACTCGAAAGAACCTGCAGTAATAGATGTTTTTATATAGGCATTTTTGGGAAATATATGTCACTTTATTAAGTTTGGTTGAGTTCTTGGGAGTAGCAATATCAAAAGGGAATGAAATATATGACAAACTTCATCATAGTGGGCTACAGTCTAGCCATAAAATAATCCACTATTGGTATTAAATTACTTGAGCATCGTCCTTATGGGACTTTAAAATTCATTCGGGAGTCTATTTCACGACCTGAATCGAACTTTCTAAATGGAGTTGACTACTGTGCAATGCTAATATCTCTTCTTTCCCTGCACCTTTTTTATACTCAGAATAAAAACAGTGCACTAATAGATCACTACATTCATTCCCGACATATTTAGGAAATATGTATTGTCTGCTTACTATATAAATGGAGTAGGAGTAGGAGTAGGAAAGAGGAGGTGTCTATTATACCAAAACAATTAATATTTGCCAATTTTTCTTAAATATGTATATGGCAGGTGGAATGGGAGAACTTCACCTATTTTACTGGAAGATTTAATTGTTATTGGTATTGTAATTTTTATGGTTATTAGGGTCCATTAATGTCAAAAAAAATGTAAGCAATACAAATATATATATATATATATATATTATAAAGGAAGTGAAATAAGTGGAAATTAAAATGCAAAGTGGATATTTTCTTCTTATGTTTTTAGGTTTCTTTCGCAAAACATTATAATCCTGCATTCCATTAAAAGATCAAAACATTGAAGTGATAAAACCTTATCACCAAAATTGACTTTTGATCTTAAAAATCTGGTTTGAGATACGCCAGAATTGACGTGTTGGTTTTTGTGCTGATGTCACGGTCAATAGGTTATAACCAGGATAAGTCTCCCAAGTGGAGTGATACATGACTCTCTGGGACAATATCCCATGCAAAAAACTAAGAGAAGTGATGAGGATTTGTGGCGAAATCTGAAACTATAGTCTTCTCTGCCTTTCCCGAAAGTAATCAATGTGACCATAACCCACTTTAAAAATTAAAATCGTGTTGTTTTTATTTTTTAATAATAACAACAACAATTGAGTTTTATGATCGACAAGGTCACGAAAGGAAAAAATACACTAATGCACAACATAGTACGATAGCGATGATGGCTAAAAACGTAGTCTCTTGGTTACCTTTTCGTCTGTAATTTTTAATGATAATCTCTCAGTTACGCTCTTACACATCTACTCACGATTTAGTTCTGTTCAACACTGAACTAAAGCAAATATTATCCATTTTCTTGGAAAATCCTTGGCTGAGTAGAAGTCATTTCTTCCGATAGGTAGATTCGATAGACGGTCTGAAGAGCATGAATAAAAAAATAAAATGTTTTAGTTCCGAAATTAAATAGTTCAAAATGAAAAATTCTTCTTTTATATGACTATACTTTACAAGTTGTAAACGTGGATCTAGATCCAGAAGTCGGACTTTGAATAAGAAAGGAAACCAAATTAAAAAAGTAAAGAAAACCATCCTTTGTCATTCAAATTCCGACACCGTCCGATCACACAATGACAGACGCTTCCATAGAGTACAATTATGGCTGGATTGTTACGTTCTATAGTATGAGAATCCCGAAAATGTTAATATTTTTGAGTAGCTCCGGCCATAATAAAAATTACCCATTTTCAGTGCTTTAATAATGTAAATAAGATAGATAGAACATGTTTTCTTTGGATGAAAGCCCTTAAACGCTTACAATCAAATGGATCCAAATCTTAATCACTTGGAAGAAGAGGAATTTATCTATTTTTCTTTAATTATCCTACCTCATCTCGCCTGCATAGGTGTTCACACCAAGTCAATGTCTTTGACTTTGACGTAGAAGAGGGTTTCTCAGATAAAACGGAAAACATACAAATTCAGAACAAGTATGCATTTCATAAATAGGTCCAAAAACAATATATTATAAAATCTGGTCCAGCCAGTAAAGTGAAATAAATATATTACAGTCTAAATCGCTTATAACGATGTTAAATACCAACACTATTTTTGGGACTTTTCAGTTCGTTAAATTCGGTGTCGTTATAAATGATCACGACTATATAGAGAAATTGTCAAAGAAAATCCAATTACATGTTTACATTCGCCAAATATGTAGCATGCTTTTGGGCGCCATTGGAATTTTTGCTACTCCAACCAACTCTAAATATGACAGTTATATATGTAGCGATAGAAAACAATTAAAAAAATACTGTAGCATTATAAATCAATTATATATGTATGTAATTCTATATTAGAATTATTTAAAAAAAAATCTTTGACCATTTTTGGGAAATATTCCAACTGAGAGTTTTTTTTTAAGGAAGGACGTAATAGAGAAGGTATTTTGTTTTTTCATTTAAAATCCTCATTGTCATCATACTTTAAACATTAAATAGAATTTTTATAGAGATCAATAAGTAGTAATTAATTTTTTACAAAAAAAAAAATATTGAGATTTCGAGATAGAGTTTTCTGAAGAGAGTTCTTTTGAAAAAAAAAATGACAAGAAAGAAAACAAAACAAATAATGGAAAAAAATATTCCAAAGCAGAAAAGTTTTTGTGTTTAAAAGGAGTACGAAAAGAAGAAGAAATTTGTTGTGTTTTTGTTGTTGTTGGAAATTGAATTTAGGGATTTTTGCACATTTATAAAAAGACTTATCAAACTAAAGAAATTAATTTTGTTGTTTTGTTTTTCGGTTTTTTGTTAATAAACATTGAATATATAACACAAATACATTTGCTTGCGGTAAATATATATAATATATATAATAGTATACACAGATAATACAAATAGTTACACAAACATACACACAAGTGAACTTAAAAAAAACACAGAAAAAAAACCAAAAAAACTATCTTATAAGCTACGAATTTTTGAAATTATCCAAGATAATATATATGTAAAAAATATCTATTGGAAAAATTAATAAATTGCAAAAGGAAAAAAATATTTATAATTTACGGTTAAAAAAATAATAAACTAATATACAATTCACACTCCCTCTACTGTTGTGTTTTGTTTTTCTACTTTCTTTTACTGATTTCTTTTTTTGTAAAAGAAAGCCAAGCGTATTTGTTAAATTTTTTAATTTAATTTTTGTTTGTTTTGTTTTTGGAGTGGTGTTTTCTTTAATGCGAGGAAATAAAAAATTAAAAAACGAAAAAAAAATAAAATTCGGGCTTTTGTTTCTAAACAAATTTTCCTATAACTAATATTTTTGTGTGTGATTTTTTTTTTTTAATTTTTTGTTTTGTTTTTTTCCTTTACGATGACGTTTAAATGTTAGATTAGGGGTTTCTATACGTTAAAATATATATGTATTTGTTTTTTTCTTTTTTTAAATAATGTGCTTAATTTTTTGTTTTTGTTTTTTCCTTTCTTTGTTATCAGTTATCATTATAATAAAAAGAATACTTAGTAAATTTGTTGGCATTTTGTTGGGCTTATTTTTTTCTTGTTATAAACATCCAGCGTATAGACGACAGACATTACGACGCGTATGTTTTAGCTTATACGACAGTTTCACGCTAAAAATGTAAATTGTTTATTTTTTTAATTTTCTTTCTTAAATCTCTTTTTCTTGTTCCAGTGGGAAAACAAACTAATTTTCTTTCACTGCACTTTCTTTCTTCATTCTTATTCTTGATCACCACCATTATCATCTTCATTGTGAGATTATTTTCTTATGTTTTGTTTTTGTTATTATAAATTTTATTATCATTATCACCTACTACAACTACACTGCACTTGCCTTGTTCTTGTTTCTCTGTTCCTGCTATGCGTTTTTCATTTCATTTCGTTCGGGCTTTCTTTCTTTTATTGTAATATCAACAATGCTGGATGAATTAGCGTCGTCGTCTACATTCATCTTTTGGTTACTGGTTACTGTTGTTTGCTGTTGCTGGGAGGAGGTGGTGGAGGGGTCACAATGATTATCATCATCAACCATCACCTATAAATACCGGTGATGGAGTTGGTGGTGTCGGTGTCAATCAATTATATATGAAATTTGCGGCATCGCACAATGCATTGCTGTCATCATCGAATTTGCCATTTATTGTATAATTCGAACTGGTGCCATAGCTCCATTCCTTCTTGATGTAATCCCCATCATTTGTCGACGACGAATTATTGTGCAGTGCACCCAACGAATTGTGATCTAATCGAAAATCATCATCATCGGCATATAATTGAGCTGGTATTGTATCGGGTATTGAATGCTGGTCCAACAGATAGCCATATGTGGGTAACGCATGCGACAAATCGACATGATGATCGAGATCATTGTCGAAGTTGGACATACCGAACTTGGAGCCGGGCGGTGAGTGGGGTGAATGATTGGAAGCATCATCGTGGAAAACGACCTCCTCTTTAATAAGCATTTCATTGGAATTATCACCCGAAACATAGAAATTCGGTTCAGTTTTAATGGCCGTTGTTGCCAGGGACGGGGAACACTTCTCATCTAACATAACATCGTCATCATCATCATGGAAATGACGTCCATTCGTGGGATGATGTAAATTCGTATCATCATCGTCATCATCCATATCGGCTAGATGACGACGCCGGTGGTGATTTCGGTGGTTATTACGTTGCGATTGGTTTTGTTGTTGTTGGTGTTGATGATGATGACCGTTGAGGTCATGATCACGTGTACTGCGTATTATCGAGGAGGATCCGAGGGCGGCGGAGGCCAATGATAGGGGCACACCACCCGACGATTTGGAGACCACAACTGAAGAGGAACATGACGTTGATGATGACGACGGCGAGGGTGAGGGCGATGAACCTGAGGAAAAGTAAAAGAATTGGAAAATATTTAATACACAAATATAAATAATAAATAAAATAAAATAATGGAAAACTTTCTGATTAACGACTTAAAAGTTTTCCTTATATATATATTATGTCCATTATTATTACAATGCTAATCCTGTCTTGAGACCTTAAATAATCCAGATTTGAGACCTTCAACGAATAATCCGCATTCCCATAATAAACATCTAAATGAAATATTTTTTACGTCCGTAAAAAAATATACACTTGTAGTCCTTAAGAAATTCACGGCTAATGTTTAAATTTTTAAATTCCTTCAAAATTATTTTTATTTATTTTTTTTAATCCATGATTGAGGACTTTAGAGCCCTTCAAAAATATATATCTTTTTAAATCCACGATTGGGGTCCTTTAAATCCACGCTATTTTATTTTTAAATTTGTTATATTTATAAAATTCAGTCTTTATATCCCCTTAAAATAAATATTCATGTCTCTATTCTTATAAAAACCACTCTTGTTTTAGGACATGGAAATCATTCTTATAAACTTTTGGGCAATTTATAACCTTGAAATTTTAATCATATAAAAATCGGGGCTATTTGAAGGCCTTGAAAAATTATTGTTATAAAAATTCGAAAAGGCTCTGAAAATTTATTCTATAAAAACCATGTATCTTTAGGTCCCTAAAAAATATATTCTTATAAAAATAACTACTGTGTTGGGTCTTGACAAATAATTTTTTATTAAAAGAACTCCCTTAAAAAATATTTTCTATAAAAAACACTCCTGCTATACATATATGGGAGGAGCTTTATGTAAATCTGAACGGATTTCAACAAAACTTAACACTCGTAAGGCTATCGGCTAAACTTTGGAATTTTATATGGGAGATATATCAAACTCCGTACCAATTTTCACGAAAATTTCTTGCAATCAAAAGACATATCGGGGCTTTAGCGCACCATTTTCATAAAATCGGACGAAAATATATATGGTTACTATAACCAAATTTCAAATTTCCAAATGCGGACGGAAATGCATAAATCGATTCAGAAAGTGATTCTATGCATATTCTCAAAACGAACTATGGGTCTAACTCGTTTCCTTTTGCATGTTAGAAATATATACACAAAGACATAGGACCCTGTACCACAGTGTGATGAAGGGTGTAATAATATCGAGACTATGGTCCTAGAACTTGTACAAGTAAACAAGTGTATGGTTACTATAACCAAATTTCAAATTTCCAAATGCGGACGGAAATGCATAAATCGATTCAGAAAGTGATTCTATGCATATTCTCAAAACGAACTATGGGTCTAACTCGTTTCCTTTTGCATGTTAGAAATATATACACAAAGACATAGGACCCTGTACCACAGTGTGGTGAAGGGTGTAATAATATCGAGACTATGGTCCTAGAACTTTTACAAGTAAACAAGTGTCAGTCATTGTTGCCGACAGATATATACCTTCGGAATTGCATACAGATTTTATTATTAGCTTTATATAAGAAATATGTTTTTATTAAAGAGGTTTCGGATTTAAAGTTGATTTTTAGTTAATATAAGTTATTGGCCATATTGACTTTTTTATATTACAATGAAGTTAATTAATAAATGAAATGAAATATTGACCATTTGTGAGGGAGGTACCGGAAGGGGTGGACTACTGGGTCCATCTTCGAATGAGGCACATTTTCACCGTATCAAAGTGCATATACCCTCACTAATGTAGTTCAAAATCCGAACCCCTCTGCTGAAATTAGAAAAGCTCATTGATCTCGACTAAAGATACATTTTTCGAGCATTTCCCCGATCAAGATAATTGTTGACAGTTTATTCGTCTCTCTCTAATAGGAACATATGTAATTTGTTTACATCAAGAAACAGACATTTGTCACAATACAAATGGCGGGATAATTATGTAAGTATGCCATCTGATCCACTTTTTATCCCTCAAACAATGATTTTTTGGAATTTGTATCTCTAATTTCTAAAGATTTAAGATAATACTTTTTTCCATTGTTCAATGAATTTTGAAATTGAATTCACAAAAAAGTACAACGTATTATTGTGTCGCTGCTGATCGATAAACGTCACAGATCGAAATTTACTGTGACAAACATAATTTGCAATTCCAATGATGTTGATGATGTGTGTCATTGAAATAGTTTGGGATGAGACATACAAAATATTTTGTGTGTTCCTTAATACCTGAGATCACACACATTGATGATGTTGCAACGAATATATTAAAAAAATTAACCGTGTCATTAATCATTGGTGAACACCGGGCATAACAAATTGTTGCAGTGAAGTTAAAAAGACTGTTACAACAATTATTTGTATAACTGATTGAAAAACTACTGAATTCAATGAAAATCCCTAGATTTCATTAAGGAGATATGTGAGAGAGCACAGCCATAGCTCCCTTGACTTTTTTATGAAATATGTATCAGCCTTCCAAAACGCTTTATATCAAATTACAGCCCCATCGATTGGAAAAATGGGATGGTATCAATGGAGCTATAACAAACCATAAACTGACATTGATCACTTTTGGTTTGAAGACTTGATAACCCATAAGAATTTAATAAATCAAAATTGAGCGAATTCGGTTAAAAACCATTCACATAACCCCTTAAATAGCGAATAATGCGGGTTCTAATATATGGGGGGCTGGCTCCCCGTAAAGCTGGGCCAATATTGATCATTTTTTGTAGGGAGATCTTTTACTCAATGAGTTACTAAAAATATAAAATTACAGCAAATTTGGTTGAATCAGTTGTCCTAACCCCCCAATATACCGAAATTTGGGATGTAACATTACATGGTGGATACTTTAAAAAGTGAACCCATATTAAACATGTTTAATATGAAGATTTTTGATACCCCATGAGAACCTGAAAAATTAAATTAGAGCCAATTCGGTTAAAAAGCATACCCAAAACCCATAAAAAAGATACCGAATAATGAGAGTTTACCATTATATGCGGGCTACCCGGAAACATGGGCCAAAAAAGTGGGCCAATACTGATAATTTTTAGAATTCTTAAAAATGAGAACCTAAAAAATCAAATTAGAGCCAATTCTGTTAAAAACAAACCCATAAAATATACCGAAAAATATACCATTACATGCGGGCTACTCGGAAACATGGGCCAAAGCTGATATAATTTGGTAAGGACATTTTCTACTCAATTAGAATCCGAAATATTAAATTGCGCCCAAATTAGTTGAAACACATAATCTCATAATACCGATTTTTGGGGTGTAGCGTTATATTGGGGGCTTCCAATATTGATTGTAATATTAATAATATTCTCTTCAAAGCGCAACTCATTTACCAAACCTCATTAAAAAAGTTAGAAAAATTACCTATCGGATAAACCGCATCAAACAATCACACTATGAGGATGAAGAGGCTTCTCAATAACAACTGATGACATTTTTCAAGTCACAGACGCCAAATTTTTGATGCCAACGATAGAAATAATACGTTTTCAATGGATTTTTAGATCACTGCCATGTATTTCAAGGACCCAATCAGCAATTCTAAAGAATTAGATGAATGTTTGACGAAAACAACAATGTGGGCAATTCGGATTTCCACCAACAGCTCGAATTTTTGCAACAATTCGCCGGGAGATCCGATTCGTACTTGGTAAAGTTTCTGACGGAACTTAATTCTAAAAGATATAGTTACATAAATGGGTTTTATGCTACAATTAGAGACAAACCACCCATTTAATTCCACTATCACGCCTATATAGACTCCCTGAGCTCTACGAGCTTCCTCTCGCCTATAAAGACTCCCTCAGGACTCCTCATTCAAAACTAACCATCTGTACCTTATTTAAAATAGGTTTAACCTCATTTTCCGAGCAGTGTAAATATAAGTAGGCATTTCGGATTGTCAGAGAAATTCAGAATATTAGCAATATAGATAGTTACTTAGAGGATAAAAAATATTTTGCAGATAATTTATAAATTAGGTCGCTCTATGTTTAGCCATAGCTTTATATGGCGAATAATGTGCATCCAATTATACTGCTGAAAGTTTGCCGAACTAAGCCTCTAAATTGAACAAGACAGTCGCGGGAAGCTAAGTTGATCGTGGCAATAATTGAATGCTTTTGAAAGGGCGTTTCTCAACTGATTCAGATCGTTATAATAAAATTTGAATCTAGAACCAGCATACTACTTTTTGAAAGCTATTTATGAAGGTTGTCTTATCTCATTATCATAAATGATTGAAAAAGTATCAAAAGATGCCAACAAATCCATATCCCTAAAAAAGGATTGTATTATCCTTTTTTTAGATCCTAAATGATTTCAAAAATATTAACATTTCATGCGGCTTTTGAAAAAAAAAATGAAATGTTACAAATCTACAAGAAGATGTTCACAAACTCCTAACCTACAAATTAATCTTTTAATGACTTTCCAAGAAGAAGAAATAATTATGTATAGGACTCTATAATTACAAAAACACAAAACAAACCCCTAAATCATTGCACAGCCAAGCTGGCTGCACAACAAATGAACCTTGATTACAACCCCCTCTAGGAAATTGTATTATTATCAACAAAATAAAAACCAAACAAGATCATTTGCAGCAAATGATAATAACAACAATTAAAAAAAAAGGTTTTAGTACAACTTACCCCTTTGCTGTATTGAACTATTAAATACTGAACCAGATAAGGAAGTAACACCGCCAGTCGAATGTATTATTGGTGTCTTACGCATCAATTGCTGCTGCAAAGCACTGCTACTGGCGCCAACACCACCGCCACCACTACTACTAGCGCCGCCAATAACTCCACCACCCCCACCACTACTATTTTGACGTATAACTTGAGCATGATGCCGTTGTGTCGGTTGCGATGTCTGCGACAGCAGCGTATCAACACCCTTATCACTTTGCATATAATTATTGATCACAATTGCCCGGGTGGGTGTTGCACCGTTTAATAATATTTGCCGTGTTTGTCGCAATTCTTGAGATGTATTCGAAGATTCCGAAGATTCTTCACCGGTGGCTGTCGTAATCATTGTATTATTCAGACTACTCGTACTAACATATTGATGGCCATTTAAACTATTTAGACCATCGCTCAGTCCGGAATTCTCATCCAAATCGTCGTGCATAGATGATGTTGAGTGTTGGCTCAAGAGCAAATTACTGCTAGGATGATGATGATTATTGTTATCGATAACCGACGATGATGATGATGCTGACGCTGATGACAGCGATATTTGTGGTTCCATCTTAACAATGGTGGATGTGGGGGAATTGTGAGCACTATTATCGGCACTACTGCTCGAACTTGTGTTGCCACCACCACCAACGGCAGCACCACTAGTTGTGGTACTGGTGGCGGTCGATTTAATTGTCGACGTTGCCTGTGACGTTGACGACGATGATGCAGATGTAGATGCTGATGTTGTCGTTTGAACACGTTGATGGACTTGCATGTGGGTCTGCAACGATGATTGGGTGTGCAATTTCTTTTTGCAAATTTTACATTCGAATGGAAAATCACCGGTGTGGGTGCGAGCGTGTATCTTCAAATTGTAACGTTGACCAAAACCTTTGCCGCAAACTTCACATCTACAGAAGAGAGTGAGAAGAAAATGGAGAATACAATTGTTTTAATAATGAGTTGTATAAATAAATAGTTAAATGAATTAAAAATCATCAAGGTCCTGCTATACAAATGTGGTGTTTACATTTTGGTCTGGATGTTAACCTTGAGAAAATTTATAGCCTCTTCTAAATGTTAAATGGTAATTCTGAAGGTAAGATTTTTGTAAATAAAATGCAACAAGTATAACTGATTTCAACTGATGTGACTATAATTAGGCATATTTTAGATATGAAGATCCCCATATACAGATCCTACCATATTTTTGAATTTCAAAGGTCCTAGCCGCATTTTTTAACTAAATTTCCAAAAATTTGTTATTTTTGTTTCTCCAAGGGGGGGAAACGTTCTGATGGAAAATCTGAAATATAACTTCGTGGTTTGAATAAGGCATGGTGGAGGGTTAGGCCCACTACAATTTTACTAGTTTTGATTAAAAAGATTTAAAGGTCGATCTCGTTCGAATAGAACTTGTTTTAGATACCCTCAGGTTTCCTACCTGACTACCTGAGCTTTAGCTCGTTTCTTAAAATTCCCTGCCGTTTCAGCACTTCTATAAAAAGGACTTTCAAAACGGGGTCTATTATGTCTCCTCTGCTACTTCATCCGTCTTCTTTGAATTCCATGTGCAAAGGTTATTTTAATGAAGATTCAGGCCCATATAAATACACCCTGAGCATCAGCTCGCCTATAATTATCTCATAAAATATCTGTAAGTAAATCACTGCTTCCGCTCGTCCACAAAAAAACTTGAACTTCTTAAATTCAGTGACCTGCAGCTCCTTTAAAGATTTCTTGAATTCAGTGACCTGCAGCTCATTCATAAATTTTGCCTGAGCTCCAGGAGCTTCAGCTTGATTATAAAGACTCCCTGAGCTCCAGGAGCTTCAGCTCGCCTATAAAGACCACCTGAACTCCGGGAGCTTCAGTTCGCCTATGAAGACTCCCTGAACTCCGGGAGCTTCAGTTCGTCTATAAAGACTCCCTGAGCTCGAAAACTTTAGAACTTTTACTTGTCCATGAAGAATCCCTGAGCTCCTGGAGCTTCAGCTCGCCTAATAAAGACTCCATGAGCTACAGGAGCTTCAGCTCGCCTATCAAGACTCTCTGAGCTCCAGGAGCTTCAGCTCGCCTATAAAGTTTCTCTGAGCTCCAGCTCTCCTATAAAGACTCTCTGAGCTCCAGCTCATCTAAAAATACTCCCTGAGCTCCTGGAGTTTCACCTCGTCTATAAAGACTCCCTGAGCTCTTGGAGTTTCAACTCGCCTAATAAAGACCCCTGAGCTTCAGCTCGCCTAATAAAGACTCCATGAGCTACAGGAGCTTCAGCTCGCCTTTAAAGACATGCCGAACTTTTCCTCTTCTATAAATACTACCAGAGCTTCACCTCGACAAATTTCTGTTCAGCCATAAAGACTTCCCGATCTCAGCTCGGGGCTTCAGCATATAAATTCTCCCTGAGATCCATTTTTTATAGATCCTTCTTCTTCCTCCTATTTTTTATAGATCCTTCTTCTACAGCATATAACTCCCAGATTTGCCCATATTGTCCCTTTGAATCCTAATCAGACTATTTTCTCTCATTTCATTGAAGCCTTCTAAACAAAAGTGTGAAATGAAAAGCATAACTTTAAGCGTTTGTGCCTTTCTCCCAATATACAAAAATTCTCTTCTTAACCATAAAAGGTTTCATTTCTTTTCATCCCCCCACTTTCGTCTCTTTCCGCCACATTCGTATTTCAGACACTTTAGAAAATAGCAAACAAAAAAGAAACTATAGTAGCAACATAAGGAATACTTACTTGTGCAATTTAACACCTGAATGCAATTTGGAATGACCCCGCAACGAAGCCAGGGCACTAAATTGTTTACCACATATTTCACATGTCAAATTGACATTTTCATTGTGAATCTTTTTGTGGACTTTGAAATATTCGAAACTCATAAATTCCTTGTGGCACACTTCGCATTTGTATTTATGACGCTCGGACTGTTGGCCGGTATGGACGCGCATGTGCTTGATGAAATTCGGACGAAAACGTACCACACGACCGCATATCTGACATTCGTATGGTTTGCAGCGAAGACAATGCTTTTCGTAATTTTTCAAGGATTTCAGGACCATATTACAGATGGCGCATTTCATGTTGTTGGCATGTCCGGAACGATGAATTTCATAGAGTTCCTTGTTATCGAATTTCTCAACGCATTCCATACACTGGTAAATTGTGCCGGAGGGTGTGGATGTCGATGAAGGTGGGGAGGCGGCTGACGATGTGGAAGATGGTGGCGATGTTGATGCTGTATTGCGGCTGTAGTTTGTTGCAACAATTTGTTGCTGCTGCTGTTGTTGGGCTTGTGCTGAGGTGGATGCCACCGGATGTTGTTGCTGCTGTTGCTGTTGTGCTGTACTGGAGGAGTTGCTGTTTTGTCCAGATCTGGGTGGTGATCTGGTTGGTGTTGATGCTGGTGTTGTTACGATGGTAGCAGTATTGTTGTTGCTATTGCTAGGACTTGTATTTATGGCCATTATTGTGGGCGAATTTCCCGTTAATGCATTCGAAAGAATTTGATTACTGCCACCACCACCATTTGATGGTGTGGAGCCGGCTGCCGAAATAGTTGCGGTTCTTGGAGACGAGTTCCCTGATAATTCACCACCAGATATGGATGCCTGTGGCGAGGTTGTCACTAACATTGGTGTACTATTCCCCGAGTTGGCCACACTACAGACGGGTGAGGCTTGCAAAATCAATTGGGTGGTCTGACCACCACTTCCAACCTGTTGTTGGACCACATTCAATACAGCCATCGAGCCGTTTCGACTCAACATGGCGGGCATACGCACCAGAGTTGTGCCACCCACATTGGCCATGCCATTACTTATGAATACTGGACGTCTTTGTAGATGAGCTAAAGCTTCGGACACCGGTACGGTAACCGATCGTGTTGTGGTGCTAACAATAGAGCCGGCAGGCAACACCAGCTGGGTGGGTTGACCTTCAGCATTTGTGGTGGTCACTGTGGTCGGACCACTGGTATAGGTCAGCCGTGGGGCTGACACAGTCTCCACCATTTCATCCATATGTTCTACTTTAATTTGGCTACCATCTAATAGGGGAGGCTCTTCATCGGCCTCAGCTGCCTTGGCTTCTTCTTCAATGTCTTGAAGATTTTCATCATTTAATTCGGGATCTTCTTCTTCCTCCTCGTCGTTGTGGTGGTGTTGCACCGACGCGACTGTTGTTGTTGCTAAAGGCAGGGAATTATAGTCATGGATATCTGAAGATCTAACAATAATGCCACGGCCATTAAGGAAATGATGCTGCTGTCTGGCCGCTGTGGTCGTTATATGGTGCTGTTGCTGCTGCTGATGATGATGTGTGATAGTCTTCACCATGGATTGTTGCTGGTGTTGTAGTTCGGCGGCATCTTGACTGGTTTGACTTAAATCGGAAGCGCTTGTTATGGGTGTTGTAGAGTTCGGTGGGGTCTCAAGTTTTATAACGCTAGCTTGTCCAGTACCAACTACTGATATGGCCCCTTCGGAATTACTTTCTGTGTCCATGAGCTGATGCTGCTGTTGACCCTTGACAGAGGTCATTATGTCATTGCTACCTTGATGCTGCTGCTGTTGTTGGTATAATATTCGATGATGCACACCACCTCCGCCGCCACCACCACCACCATTACTGTGATCCTCATCATCATCGTCGTCATGCTCCTCCATGGGAGCATCCTGTAGTATAAATTCGATTTGTTGAGACAAAGCACTGTCATTAATGGCTATCAGACTGTCCAGGTCTTTGGTGGCCATTGAGGAACCATTGCTCATTGCGAACAGCGAGGGAAGACTGCGCGAAGATAAACCTCCTGATGAATTATTAGAGCCATCCATGGTTTTTCTGTTTGTTTGGTGGTATAGATTAGCCGCCGACTGTGGACCAGACCGGACCGGACCGACAGATCTGATCTGATGTGGTGCTTATGGTGTGTGAGATTTTTTTGTTAAACGTCGCCGTCGTCTTCTTCTTCGTCGGACTTAATTATTGTTTTCATTTATTTCACACATTCATTCATTCGTCGTTCGTTCGTCCGTCGTTTTAATACATATGTACGTCCGTCCGTCCAGTAGCAATTACCGACAATAAGTTTTTTTTCTTTCTTTCAATTATTAGCAATTTTTCTGTGGATTTACGTTTGTTGTTAGCGTTTTAATTCATTTTCTAAGCGTTGAGGAGAAAATTGGAGAAGAACAAGAGAAACAAATTAAATGATTTATTTTAGCCGAGACTTGACTTGTATTTTTTACTACGCATTTTTCTTCCTTTGCTTCATTTTCAAATTTTCTTTTTTGTAATAGTTTTTCATACACAGTTCACCTTTTTCCACACACACACGGGCACACAAATACAATTACAAAAAAAGAAAATACGCGCACACACACACACATTCACTCGTCGTTCAGTTCTTCGCTCGAGCGACCAACCAACCAAATAACCAAAAAAAAACAACAACTACACGGGACACACATTCATGGAAAAACGTCAGTGTTTGACTGACAGACAGACAAACACACAAATGAATTTTCTTGTGAAAATGGCTGGATTTTGCTCGTTCGTCCCTTTTTCTTTGGGCTTTTTGTTCATTCGTTCGCCCGTACGTTCATTCGTTCCTTTATTCGTTGCTGCCGCTGCGGCTGCTGCTCTACGACGTGATTTTGATTTCGGTGTTTCCTCCTTTGTTTTCTTGTTTGTTTTGTGCATTCCTTTTATCTCGTTTATAAACAAAAATTGCACAATCTTTACAGAGTTGCAATTCGCGTACACAAATGACAACAATGCAGAGTTGTATATTTTTGGTAGTAGAATTAATAAATGTAAATGGAAAATGGAGTGCAAGTGCAATTTATCGTTCAATTAAAGACAATTAATTAATAGCCCTTTTTTTACTAAAACACTTTGTAAAATATGAAAAAAAAGAAAAGAGGAAAGTCTACTACTGTAAAATGTACTGAAATTCATGAAAATAAAGTAATACAAAAATATTTGTCAATGTTTAAAGTACGTTTACATTTACGGCCATTAACAGTATGATCATGATTTGTAATAGATTGTATGATTAGGAGGTGAGGTTATGCTTCATTATTATTCGAGTTTAAAGTTTAGATTTACAAAACCCACTCGATCTCAAATATCAATTCGATAGCGTATACCTCAGATGTAATCCACTACATTTTTGCACAGGCCTATTGGCATTTGAGACCAGATAGATTTAGTAGTCTAAACGCGCTCTTACGCTGGGTATCCTCTTATACCCATATACCCTTAAAAAACATTTACATTGTACTAAATTGTCAATTCCATAACATATTTTTCAAATAAATCCCCAAACAGGAGGTTGACATGGTAAAAAGTTCAAATGTATTTGTCGTTTTGCTTGTAAATGAATAACATTTTGTCTGTTCTCGTACATAAAAAGTGGCAAAACTTGTCAAATTTATAAAAAGAAAAATCAGTTGGGCGCCATTTATCTTTGAAATTAAAATCCTTTAATAATAGTACGTTTACATTGTACAGGATATCATTAAAGCAGAGGGTTTAAATAGTCAATTCCATTGAATATATATCGGATAATTTTCATGAAAAATTTTCGATTCTACAAAAATGACGCTCAGAATAAAAACAAAATTAGAAAAAGGGATTTTAATTATCCTTTATTCCAAGAAAATCCTATCATATCCCCGAATTAAGGACATAAATACTCCTGAAAAAAAATTTGTTTTTACTGAACAAAGTGTGGTTTCATTAGTGAATAGACTTGACACAATCAGATCTAAATGTGGTTCCGATTTGAACAAAACGTTTATCCCTTTTTTCGACGGGATGCGTCTCATCTCGTATAATATTGGACATACAAAGTCTGTTCCACAACATGCAAGAATGTGTAAATGAACAATTCTAGTTTAGTAAAAACGTCCCGATTAAGGCATTTTTACACTTATTATGGTGATATTTTTTCTTGGATGACGAACCGGGTTATACCCAATTCTTCGGATACATATCCATCAAGCGGTTATATATCTTTTTATACAAAACAAAAACAGCCAAACATCGATTTTTGAAAGCACAAATTGCAGTGTGAAAGGTGTGGTGAGGGACTATAATGGAACGTTTATCGGCTTAAAATACCCCATATAATCCAAAGCTTTAAAATGTACCAATTTTGTACTAATCGGTTCTAAATAATCTGAACTTCCGGGTCTAATAACCGGGTACGTACTCACAAAAATAATATGGAACAAATTTCCTTTACCTCTCAGAAAAATTTGAAATGTTTTCCATATGTGGCCTATTGTTTCCTGATTACAACATAACTTTTTTCGATGGAAATGTATTCCGAAATATGAGGTTCCAAAGTTCCAAAAACTTCCCAATATTAACTATTTGTTCATTAAAAAATTCGAATTTTTTTGGCCACCTCTCAGAAAACCATATGGAGTCTGTTTTTCCTGATTAAAACAACAAAAATGGTTTCGGGGCATAACTTCCCGAGATATGAAGTTCCAAAAATCCACAAATTTTTGCCATTTTGGGCGGGATTTAAGACTTTCTCCTATTGACACATACCAACACCGGCTACACCACAGAGTAGAATTTTTTTTTGGTCTGGGATTTAAGACTTTTTCCTCTGGACAGATATTAACACCAAATAAATTCCCGGGTATTTTACTGTATCTTCCAAACAGTTTGAAATAATCCCTTCAAGTCAACACTCAATGACATTTTCATAAGCTTCAAAATTATATACATTTTGTATTAATCGGATCCGTAGAAATGATACCGGAACAAAAATTTTCAGAAAAATTTGATCGTTATTACTAAAGTCAAACCTATGGTGAAAATTTCCGATTTTTCTGAAAGATGGGCTTAAAGGAAATATAAGTCATGGACATGAAGTTAACCTAAAGTGATGTCTACTAATTTGTTGTATGATTTATCGTTCAACAAATAATCTTTTGTTTACTTATAATTACTACCCTACGCCAATAACATTTTTATAATTTAAATTATTTAATTAACAAAAATCCAAATTTTTTATAATTCGAATTTTATTATCTTCAATAAAACCTCCGAATTAAAGGTAAATCAAATTATAATTGCCTTACAAAAGAAAGCAATCATTTTTGTTTCACATTCTACTACCATTTTTATACAACTCTGTTAATGGCACACAAAAGCATTATTATAGATTATCGTTCACCTGTATTTTCGTGGTTTATTTTTATCCAACATCCCTTATGTTTTTTTATGTTTCGTTTTCCACTAATCTCCGTGTTTTTTGGTTCTGTGTTTTATTATTGTCATTTTTTTCGGTTTGTCTCACCTTCTTTTTTACATCCAACCATCCTCCTATTCACATATTCTTTGTTATTTTTTATTTATTTTCATCGTTTATTTTATTGTTTGTGTTACCCACAATCGGTTATTACTGTTTGGCTTGTGTTTATTTTTTCGTTTGTTTCAATTCTTTCATTTTTTGCTCATCTCTTTGCCGTTGCCGTTTGTGTTTTGATGTTGTTGTTGGGATTGTTCTTCTTCTTCTTCTGTCTACCACCAACTAACTAACCAAACAACTTTATTGTCCCTCTCATTCACTCGCACACACACGGGGAAACACTCGTCAGTCAACACATGTAGTGCTTGCTCGCTTGCACCAACATGCACTTGCACACACCAACAAACAAACAAAGCAACCAACAACAACAGCAACAACGCACACTGAGGGAGAAACACAAACAAGAAAATAACAAATCTGTTTTATTTCCATTGAGTTGTGATGGAGCCCATGGCGGGGTGGAGTGTGCGGGGTGGTGGATAGATGGATATTTTCATTTATTAAAAACGCCGTATTGCTGATGTTGTTGTTTTTATGTCTTTTGTTTCGCCTTGTTCGTTCGTTCCTGTCGCCGCTGCTGCTAATGCTGCTGTTGTTGGTGTGTTTGTTTTTTCCATCGCATTTTGGGGTTGAATTTCAATGAATGCGGCAAACACAAAAAAGTTTCCGTTAAAAGAGGATGATTGAAGGGCAAAAAGAGGATGCGGCATAAAATTCAATAAAAGGCACCAAATAATAAAACACACAAACACCGAGAACCAGAGAATTAGGGAAACGAACAACGACGAAGAATCCCAAACGTAGACACAGGCCACTGAACAAGATTTTTTTTTCAGGCAGCCCAGCAAAGGCAGCAGGCAGGCAAACGCCAAAAGCAAACGACGTACGACGATAATGATGATGAACAAAATCAATTTGAATCTGGTGGGGAAGTTTTTTCTCGTTTCGTTTTCTTTTATTGCTTCACAATTTCCAGTGAAAATTTTCTTCTTTGTTTACTTTATAAAAATTTCCACTTCAACATTTTTTTCCATTCATTCATGCACCAGCAAAATAAAACACAACTTTTTTTATTTTTCACACAAAACACACACACACTTGGCAAAGGGAAAGAAAAATGTTGTAAATCTTTATTTTTAAGGTTTATTTTTCAAAAAATTTGTTTTTTCGTTTTCGCTTTTTTGCATTTAAGCATAATTTTTATTTTTGTTGTAATTGACAACAAAGGAGCGAAGTGTAATTTTCATTCACAACACTTGGAATATATCTTTTACAAACAAAAAACCGTTCTTCTATGACGACGTCGACCGTGTAAATTATTTTATTTTTTTCTTCATTTTCGTTCACTTCATCTTTCATCTTCTTTTTTGGCCATTCATTGCTGTTGGCTGACTGTTTGGTTAGCTCGCTGGCTTCAATCGTAATTTGCCAGCCATTATTTATTGATTTCCTTACCGAAGAAAATTGGATTTTTTTTGGGATAATGAGAGACGTTTATTT